TCTCAGCCCCTCACCTGCAGCCGCTCCACTCAACGAGGTTTCCTAAACAGATTTCACATCTTCCTTATAGACATAAACCGCTCAGATTGGCCTAATGAAGATAGAAGAGCCTTTAAAGTGGGAATCATAGCTCCAGTTTGGGCCATAAAGTATCTCAGAATAGCTCTCTGTCATGGAAAAATATTGCAGATCAGAGGATCTCTCAGGAAGGATGGAGGCAGCTGACGCAGTTGAGGGTGCTGCGGTGAGATGAGGATGGTTTGGGGATGGATTTCGGGAGGATGGGGGTCCGGAGAAGGTGTGAACCAAACTGAAATGCTACTGAGGATATTCCTTGAGCCTCTGGTGTTTTGCCTCTTTAGTCACCCACCATGGAGGGTTTCATCCAGTCCTGGGATGCTCGCCTGTGCAAACCTCATGAAGTTCAACATGGCCAAGTGCAAGGTCCTGTACATGGGTCAGGGCAATCCCAAGCACCAGTACAGACTGGGCAGAGAATGGATTGAGAGCAGCCCTGAGGAGAAGGACTTGGGGGTGTTGGTTGAGGAGAACTCACCATGAGCCAGCGATGTGCACTGGCAGCCCAGAAAGCCAGCCGTGTCCTGGGCTGCATCCAAAGCAGCGTGGGCAGCAGGTCGAGGGAGGGGATTCTGCCCCTCTGCTCTGCTCTTGGGAGAGCCTCCCTGCAGTGCTGCGTTCAGCTCTGGGGTCCCCAATAGCAGAAAGACATGGAGCTGTTGGAGTGGGTCCAGAGGAGGCCAAAGATGATGCAAGGACTGGAGCACCTCTGCTATGGAGACAGGCTGAGAGAGTTGTGACTGTTCAGCCTGGAGAAGAGAAGGCTCCGGGGAGACCTTTTAGCAGCCTTCCAGGACCTAAAGGGGCTACAAGAAAGCTGGAGAGCGGCTTTGGACTAGTGTGTAGTGATAGGACAAGGGGCAATGGCTTTAAACTGAAAGAGGGGAGATTTTGATGAGATCTAAGGAAGAAATTCTTCCCTCAGAGTGGTGAAGCACTGGACCAGATTGCCCAGAGGAGTTGTGGCTGCCCCATCCCTGTAAGTGTTCAAGGCCAGGTTGGATGAGGCTTGGAGCAACCTGGTGTAGTGGAGGGTGTCCCTGCCCATGGCAGGGTGGTTGGAACTAGATGATCTTGAAGGTCCCTTCCAACCCAGACCATTCTTTGATTCTATGATTCTAATATCTTTTGCCAAGGAGATGCACAGGTCTGCAGTCCGCTGAAGGACAACCCACCTCCTTTTCGTTTATTCTCAGCCTCTTCTCTGGCTATTGGAAAGAGAAGAGGATCTCCATAGGAGTTCTCTCCACCCTGAGGCACATGTCTGGACAAAGTGGCTCAACCCCACTCTGGGTCCCCAGAAGGTTGCCTTTGAGACGCCTCCTTTCCC